GATATTCAGCCGAAGAGGCTGCTTGAGGCTGCGGCTGCAGCGGGGAGGATAGGGCTGGCGGGAACCCTGCCGAACGTGAGCTGTTAAAAGCAAACATAAAACTGGTGGAGCCTTTGCTCAAATTGCCTTCAGATGCCAACAGACACTGAATCATTCTGCTGTAATGAATGTCAGCGTCGGCAGTTTGTGTTAGATGCCGTCGCCGACGATAACACGGAGAGAGAGAGAGAGAGCCGTGTGTGCGTTACTAGGCATGAAAGTTGTAGTCCTCACTGGGATAGTGATGTGCTGGAGATCTTCTTCGGGATCCCGAAGACAAATTGTGAAAGACAATCAAGACCAGCAGTGCGATTTTTGCCATTTTATGAAGTTTCTGCCTCCGAAGAAGGAGCGAGTGCCGCCAACGAGCCGCTACAGTCGTACAGTTACAGCGGGGTGAAAACAGTGTGTGGAACCGGCATTTTTTCACATCGAACTTTGTGAATTTTGAATTTATTCTGACAAAACCAGAGTTACTGATTGTTGTGACTTGGAAAAACTAACCAAGACGTGTTTAGTGAGTTATATTTTTTGTTTCTGTCCACTTTGAATGAAGTGTTTTACGTTGAGTTAACAAACCAATTAAGCCCGTCTTAGTTCAGTGCGAGAGAGAAACTTGAATTCAGAAGTTGTGCGACTGTATTTTTCGGCTTAGGTGTAAGAATATTTGCTTCACTGACGTTATGCGAGTTTACTTAGTTCATTTGTCAGAAGTAGTGAAATTGCAGCTTGTACGCAATGCATCCTGGTACATGTAGGCAGAGCTGGCACGGCTCGGCAGCAGGAGAGATCAGCTTTCTCTGTCAATATAACACACAGAGGTATTTATTGGCAGAAATGAAATATAATATTGATAACTATGCTTTTATTAGTGTTTAATCACCTGAAACTAAGAATTGTTGTGGTTTCATTACCTTAGAATAAACCGTTTATATCTACATAGGGAGCTCTTCACTGAGTCCACCATCTTGCGCCGCCATGTTTTTAACAGTGACGGGCCGTGTTTTGTATACCTGAGCCTTCAGTGCTGTCCTTCTACAGTTGTATCTACATAGGGAGCGGGTGGTCTTCCATGGAGTCCGCCATCTTGCACCGCCATGTTTGTGCAGCAGCCCTGAACGGACGCTGGCTCTAGCGAGAGCCTTTTGCGTTTTATGTTATCTGAAAATAGGGATGCGAAACCTGGTATTAAACGGGCCCCGGTGCCAAATAATTAAAGATCGTAGTACTGATAAGCCCCTACGTTACTGGTGTTTTCATTCATACTTTTTAATGTTTTGGTGTTATTTATTATCACGCTACAGATTGCATCTACTCTGCACTCTCTGTCGGGCTGAGCTCCTCCAACTACACACACGCACGAAGCGCAAGCAGATAGCTCTCTGTGGTGAAGTGAAGGATACTCGAGTTGACAGCAACTACACTTGTTACGTGGAATAAAATATTTTTGAATAAAAAGCCAATACTTTATCAATACATCTGTGCAAAAAGTACACGACGAAATTGAAAACTAATTCTATCGGCTCTGTTCGCATCCTCTCATCCACCGCCGCTATGTTTACACAACCACAGCATGGTCGACATGGTCGACCAAAAGCATATTCTTTTTCTGTAAACTTCTCTGCTGGCTGAGACAAAGCAGCCAGGAGGGCAGAGGACAGGAGGCATGACTCTGTTCTTCATTCTTTATAAACGAAGAAATTGTATTTATTTGATTGACCTTTTACATTTGTTTCCAGTGAGATATGAATTACTTTATATAGTGATTTTGGGGTATTTAGTTGGTTGCAACCAAGATGCCACTAAAAGGTACATACTGTTCCTTTAACAAATGCTTTTGAAAGTAGCGCGATGCATTTTCCTTCATATTCACAAATATAAAGGTCAGTGGGGCACACACATGCAACGTTAGCTTGATACAGGTGAGGTTCACTGTAAAATATTTACTCAAAGTGCAAAAAAACGATAATGGTCACATACACATGAACATATGCAAATACAGAGGGACACTCGATTGTCACTCTCACACACACACACACAAAGCTCTGTTCGCCAGTTACCTTGGTGAATGGACCTTCGGGGTCAGGCTTCTGATCAGCAGAGTGGAAGAATTCCTTTACAAACTCTGCCCCAACACACACGCACATTGACACAAGCATTACAGTAAATGCTTGGAACGGAAAGTACACAATCTGTCAAACACAAATTCATGTACGCACACTAACACACGCACACACACGCACACACACACAGGGACAGTGTTAACTGCTGGAGCCAGAATTAGCAGAGGGTGTGAGTCCCCAAGAATGACCGATGAGACAGAATTAATGACGAAAGCAAAGAAGAAGAAGGGAGAGAGGGAAAGAGGGCATAGAATAGGGGGAGGAACTAAGGGAAGTTTGCAGTGAAGAGGTGGAGGAAAGGGCCAAAGCTTCATCATCATCTCCCTAGGGTGCAGGCTGCGGTGGCTTGATTATGCATTCAGCTCTCTTCTCTCTCAAAAACCACACACAGCTCAGAAAATACAGCCTTGTCAGCCTACTTCAGCACACAGCCTGACCTTAGACTGTGTTCTTCTGTGTATGTGTGTTTCACACTTTCAGAAAGTCAGCAATAAAATGATTAATTAAGGAAAATTTATACTGTGCAATATCAAAGTTTGAATAATGATCGAGTTGATTAGTGTGACTAATGACTGTGTTCATTGGTACTTCTGAGCAATTATTATACTTAAACATGACAACATAAAAACGTCATAGTTTATGCAAGTGGTCCGGACCTGGACCTACAACCGATAGATAATTGAGAATTATAACATTTTGACGGAAAGCTTCTATTGTAACCGAAGCAGCTTTTCCAGACTTTACGGCACTCGTTCAGCCGTCCAGGAAACACACCGACCAACTACATGTGTTGCAAATCATCTCACGTGATGCTGCTCAGCCAGTCAAATATGTGTATTAGGATAAGCATCGCGGCTTGAGTGAGATATAAACACAGAGGGGAGAGACCGAGTCGTCAGAAAGGTACGTCAGTCAACGAAGTTATTTCACATGTCGTTCTCCAAAAAAACGAGAGCGTGTTATGTTTAGTCTTCCCATGGACAGTTCAAAACCAGTATGTCTCATATGTTCAGAGACTGTGGCGATTATTAAAAGCGGCAATGTGAAGCGCCACTACGAGACATAGCACAAATATATTCGGCAAACGTTCCCACTCAAATCTAAAATTAAGTTTTTTCAAGATAAAAGATATTTTTCAAAAGCTTTCTGTTATGTAATTTATTCTTAAATGCATCCCTCATTTTACTTGAAACGAGAGAAGAACCTTTATTAGTTATTAGAGTATGTATTATTTATGATTCATCCAATACAATTTGAAAACCGACAATAAATATTGAGATATTATTCAATTAAACTTGCTTTATTTGATAGGACAGCCAGGTTTTGACCACATACAGACGTTAATACAACTGCCTGGCTGCTTCAATATATATGGCAGTAAATCAAAGTGCAATTTAGACATTATTGTTATGTTCCTTTGCATGAGGAAATTCTCATGCATGAATTGTGATTGAATACCCCTGGATTACACTGTGTGTGTGTGTGTGTGTGTGTGTGTGTGTGTGTGTGTGTGTGTGTTTTAGCTAGTAAAGTAGGCAGACCACAGAAACAGTAAAGACAGAGCAATGAACAGACACTGTTATTTACAAAGTCTTCAAAGCAAACCTTCATGAAAGTTTAACCTGCACATTGTATATTTACAGTTCATGCCATGCACACGTTATTTCCTGTGTTGACAAGAATATATTTTACTGCAAAAGTATTTCGCTCAGGGCGACAGTATGTGATGATCTTTTGTCCTCAAGAGCTGCTATAAAACAGGATGTGATTTTTGGTCACCAGAGAATTATTTCTAATGGTTTTGGTAAATTCCTAATTTCCTAATTAATCCCTAATTTCCCTTTGACCAAGGGGCCCACTTTTTTTTCCCTCTCAAATTTGCTGTTGATATTCATGACCGTCAGAGAATGCATCTCAATATTTTTGTTGATGCCTTGACCTTTTCTCTAGAACCACCATCAGGCCAAATTTTCCTCTTGTACAAAAGCAATACCAAAATCTAATTGGTGTGATAAGGTCAGACCTACACTTTGAAACAAAGACGGATACACAAACATATCATAAACGTCCTTAAAAACACAATAATCCATAATCAAGCCTTCTTTATCCCGATAGAGGTGAGATGGATTGTTCTTTTCTCCTGTTATCCTGTACTTTGTTTTCTTTTCACACTCCAAACTCTACAAAGCACACAGTTAGAGGAATAGCTCATCACTTTCACAAATAAGCGTATTCACTTTCTTGCCAAGAGTTAGATAGAAGGATAACGACCTTACGTCTGTCTGTAAATATGAAGCGACCACCACAATGCAGCTTTAATTAGCATACAGACTGGAAAAACAGGGAAACAGCTTACCTCTATCTGAAGGTTGAAAAATCTGCCTACCATCACCTCTAAAGCTTGCTAATTAACACATTACATCTTGTTTCTCTAATCCGTCAAACTTGCAGTTTTTAGGTGGATTTCTTTAGCTTCAGTCTCCAAGCTAATCTTACCAGCTGGTGGCTGTAAATTGATATTGAAGGGACATATGTGAGTTATATCATCCACTAATTTAATATTTGGCAAGAAAGTGAATCAGTGTGTTTCCAAAAACTCTTCCATTAAGTTGTGCCTTTATACATTAAGCTAAAAGCTTTACAAGTGCTAGATTTAAAGTACCTTTGCTGAGGTCATGTTATTGTTACACTGATGTCACTTTTGTATTTGTTTTGTTCGTCCGTGTATGTTTTTGTGCTTGTCTGTAAACAGTCTGCTTTGCTTGTGTTTTTTACAACTGGACTAAATATACCAGATTAGTTGTAACCACTAACAGACACGCAATCGCTTCACCACAGACTCGTACCGCAAAGAGGAAAACATCTCAGTAACGGCAGTGGGCGGAGCCATCCTCAGCCCGCGCTTCCCCAACGCTTACCCCCGCAATCTGCTGTTGTCATGGAAACTGCTGTCACCACGAGGGAGCCGCATACACCTGGAGTTTGACGGACACTTTGGCCTGGAGGAGGCTGAGAATGGAGTGTGCAGGTAAAACCTGAGATTCAGAAAGAAAAAGAAAAAAGCAGATGGAGAGGAAGTGATGGAATTCAGAAGAGATAATTAGAGCAGACTGGAAAAACAGACAAAAGGAAAGGGGACAATACCTGAGTGGAGGAAAGAAGGATAGAGGTACAGAGCACAAAGAGGAAGAAGTATTAATGAATTACAAGCGGCCGTAAAGGAGAAAAGTCAGATGACAGTAACAGTGATTTAAAGAGCCAGAGTGTGAGTGAGCAAATGATGGAGAGGACCATTTGCAGTGACAGAGAGGAGAGTAAAAGCTTATGGAGCAGAAGTCTCAAGTTGAAAGGACATACAACAGCACCATTACAATATCTTAATATGGTGTCTATGCACAATAGGACCCCAACAATAAGCTCTGATTGAAAGGATGTGAGAGTAAAGAATTTAAGAAGGTTAGAGGGTTGAATCACTACGACAGTCGGATAGTTGAAGTTTGCTTTCTGGGCAAGAAGTATGAGAAGTTCGTCCTTGGGTTTGAGCAAGAAAATAGACGTTTTAATCCCCATATGCAACTCAGCCGTCTTTGAAAGCACTTTGATGCAAAGACAACGGGGAGCAGCGGGGGGAGGGGAGATTTGGAAAGGTAGGAAGAGGGTGAAAGTAGCTTTTTCAAATCTTGTTTGTCACATTGACTGTATGTGTGCATTCATGTGTGTGTTTGATAGATGGACTCACTAATTGACTGCGACGTTGATTGCCGGAAAGTCGTCCAAAAACCTTTCCTGCAAAATGCCTGTTGTCTAGTGGTTTGGCAGGGTGGCCCAGTGCTTTGAGAAGAAATCGTAAATTTGTCTCATCACAGTTTCGATCACTAGAGATCACTAAATTAAAGTACTAATGAGTGTCAGAATGAGCTAAATGTACACGATGACTTAAAGAAAACTATCACAAATTCTTTCTTGTTTTTCTAGTGCAGGCCATCATTTTATTGTTTTTGATAATACTCACCAAAGTAGTTGCTGAGAACTGAAAACATTAATAAAAACAGGTTTATTAGCTTTCTTGCCTAAAGTTGGATGAGAAGATTGATACCATGCTTATATCTGTACAATATGAAGCTGGAACTTGCAGCTGATTAGCTTATCTTAGCATTAAAACAGCCAGAAACAGCTAACCTGGCTCTTTCCAAAGGTAACAAAATCTTCCTGCCAGAACCTCTAAAGCTCACAGATAAACAGGTACCAACACAAAACTGTTAGTGGAGGCTAGCCGTTTCCCTCTGTTTCTAGTCTTCATGCTAAGCTAAGCTACCCCGGGACTGGCTCCAGCTTCATATTTAGCAAACAGACATGAGAGTGGTATGGGTCTTCTTAATTTACTCTCAGCAAGAAAGTGTATTGATGTATTTCCCAAAATGCCAAACTACTGTACTGCCTTGATTTAGATATAAAACTGTAAGAAAGCACACCTAAAAAGAGGGTAATAATCCTTCATTGCACAAGAAACTATGCAGTGTGGTAAGTACGGTAGGTTATCTGTAAAATGCGATTATTTTTAGCTATTAGCTTTGTCACTTGATTCCCAAATGTCAGCAATCACAGTGAGTGCAATATTGTTTTTACCAAAATGATGAAATCTACAATCATATTAGTCTAATATTGTATTAGTCTACTGCTTTTCCTTAATGTTTTTTCTTAAATTTGTGACGACACGTTCATTCATTCATAATTCTATATCAGCTGCAAAGTCGGACATTTCCTATTTCCTTGACAACAATTTTCATCCTTCATCTTTCCCTCTTCCCTCCCACACATTCATCCACCTCTCCATCTCCATCTCCATATCTCTCGCTCTAGGTATGACTTTGTGGAAGTGGAGGACCAATCAGAGACCAGCACTATAATTTGGGGTCGTTGGTGTGGGCTGAAGGCACCGCCTAGTCTCAACTCCAAAAACAACATGCTCAGAGTCACCTTCAAGTCTGACGATTACTTTGTTGCAAAGCCAGGATTCAAAGTCTACTACTCACTGGTGGTGAGACGTGCACTTTCACTCAGACAAACAGACACACTATAACACACACACACACAGCTGATGTGGAAGAATCATGAGCTGTTATTTGGGACACAGCCTAAAGTTTTGATTATTTTTCGGGTTCAGCCCAAGTACCGCTGCAATGCTCCAGGTTAAATGCTTCTTTCATTCTTTTACCTCCACAATAAGAGATGGGGTGATAGGGGGAGATATGAAGATTGGAAAGAGGAAGGATCTAGTAACACTGTCGGTAAAATGCCAAAATGCATTAGCCAACTGTTCTTTTATCACACGTCCACTCGACAGTTGAGGAGAGGTGGAGGGAGAGAGGGCAGGAGGGAGGGTGAGGATGAGAAAGTTTTCTCTTAAAGGCTGTCAAACGAACGGATAAGGAGATTAGCTTTGTCATTCTGTCAGGGAGAGGAAAGAAGAAAGGGAGGGACTCTGATTTGAAGATGTTCTCCCGCCCTCTAATCACAAGGAAAAGGAGGAGAGAAAGAGCAGCTGGTGTAATGTTCCCTGGCTTCCTCTTTTATGAGTGCAGAGGAGCGAGAGGGGACGAGACACACCATCACAGGCAGGGGTGAACTGGTGGCATCGCTTATTATCTAAGAAAAAAAAAGTATATCGGCACAGATGGAGTAAAGGTTAAGTGAGAGAGAGAGAGGGATACCGTATTTACAGTTACACTCTCATCACAATGTGTACAAAAATCTCTCCACATCCCCAGCAAAAACTATTTTAAGCACCCAAAAAATGCTGAAGGATAAGGCTTTCATTGTTGTTTCCAAATCCCATGAAAAGATCAAGACCAACTAATAATGTTTGGGTCAGTACTTTCCTACTTTTTCTTTTTTTTTTAAAGGGGCCAGTCAATTCCTAAAACAGCTGGGCACTGTAGTTTTTAGAAAATGGCATTCAAACTAAAGTCACAAGGGTATTTGTTGGAGACAATTTCTAGCTTTGGATCAATACACATTTGGTTTGTTGCTTAGTATTAATGGCAGCATGGAAGGTACGGTATATCTGGTTGAGTTGGAGGTAATTTGAAGGCAAAAGAAAAGTAGAATCCTGTTTTTTATAAGTACAATGTGATTTCCCACCAAACATCAAATAAGAGCAAAAAATAACCATAGTTCATTGTGGCTGATGTCCAGACACTGATTAAAATGGCATCTATATTAAATGCAAATGAAATAAAGACTATCCCAGAAATGCAGATGACCTCAAAGCCCCAGACCAAAACAAATCTATGTGTCCGAAGTTGTGTCCGGCAGACATGGCACACAGTGTAAGGGATGTGCATTGCATTGAATGTGTTGTAACTCTGTTATGTTGTTCATTCTGTACACATGACATCTATTGCACTTCTTTCCATCCTGGGAGAGGGATCCCTCCTCTGTTGCTCTCCCACAGGTCTCTTCCTCTTTTCTCCCCGTTAAAGGGTTTTTTGGGGGAGTTTTTCCTGTTCCGATGCGAGGGTTCCGGGACAGAGGATGTCGTATGTGTACAGATTGTAAAGCCCTCTCAGACAAATTAGTAATTTGTGATTTTGGGCTATACAAAAATAAATTGAATTGAATTGAAGGGAAACACAGTCATAGGCTGTATGTTCGAGCCAGATGAGCCCTTAACGACTTCAATCAAAAATACAAGCGACGAACTTCACCACGTTCAACCAACATGGTGGCAACAAAGTAAAAGCACCCTAAAATATAACTCTTATCTCTTTCACTCTCTCCCAAACTTTGACTGCTTCTCTCCATCTTCCCTCCCTCCTCACCCATTGTTTTCCTCATTCCCCATTTTTCAAACACCTCCTGTGTTTGAGTGTGTTTATATCTTTCCATCTTTCACACACTCACAGCTTCCCTTCAGCTAGACTGGAGCTGTGTGTGTGTGGCTTAATTTAGCAGGTCTAATTTGTTCTCTCAAGACCTGTCGAACAGATAAGAGGGAAGAGGAAGGGAGGCAGCAAGAGGAAAGGAGGAAGAGAGAAGCAGAGAGAGCATGAGGAGAAGCAGCATTGGAAGGAGAGAACAGGTGTCTGAGATGGTATCGGCATGTCAGCTAATGGCTAAAACAACCTGAACTGAGTGAGGCAGAGAGAAAGAGAGGCATTTGTGAGGTAGTGAGCTGTGGAGTAGACTGCCTTGATAAAGGAAAACCCTTGAGGGAAAGCAAATCAGATGAAAGCGTACAGGGAAAAGAGATTGAATAAAGACCAAACCACAATTTTACCACTAAACACCTGCCGTGTTTCAAATCTGTGCGGCTCTCGTTCATCTAATACCCGAGCGGACTCACCATCAACTCTGATCACGTGCGTGTCACAATGATCACCGGAGAACAAAATGTGTTTTTCGAGGCGAAACAGCAAGCGTGAACTGGGACATGCAGGGAAAATAACATGTATAGCTACTCTTTATGACCTTTCGCTGCTGCTTGTTAATTAGAGGAGCATTGTGCCGCTTCAGTGATGGTCTTCTTGGCCACTTCATGCATCCTGGACTAGCTATTTTGGTCTCTAAAGCAACACCCAGGGGGTATTAAAAGCTGCAGTGGCATTTAGCAACTTTGCATGTAGCCTGGACAGATTGCGATCAGAATTGTGATCTGGCAAATGGAGACAAATACAGTATATCATGTGGCTAAGTGTATGTGAGTGTATTAAAACTCACGTGTATTTGATACGAGACACTTGAAATGACAAGTGTAAATGGGGTCTAATAAGGTCGCACAACTGTCAGATGCCGTCTCATTAAGTTTGGGTCCATTTTGGATCTTGTCTCTTTCAAAAAAAGAAGAAAAAAAAAAAGGTTTTGTTCGGTTTCCACAGATTGGGACCTAAATTGACCTCCGATATAAGAATACAACAGCTCCCCCTCTCCAAAGAAACAAAAGACCACCGTCTGCAACACAGGCCTTACTCATTATTCATGTCACTGTTTTCCCCCTAAATCATTATTCTTTGATCCTTATCAACTCTTGTTTTTCAGCGGCTGTGATTCTCCATCTACAGTGTAGACTTACATGAAGCAATGAGTGCTTTTGATTGCACAAGACAAACTGTTTAGGAGCTGTTTGTGTTTGTAAGACTTCAGAACTTTATAGTTTTTTCTTTGTGTTTGTTTCCACATTGATTTTACTGTCTGAGATCATACAAGCAACGGCAATGTATTTTGGATGGTTATTCCTGAGATAAGCTGCTGAGCCAGGTGCAACGGGAAAAGACTATTGATCAGGAAATATAATCCAAGTTAGTTCCCAGAATCCCGTTCTGAGTCATGTAACATGTGTGCTTCCCATACAGACTGGTGTTACACCTTCATGTGTGTCTGAGATAATGCCGAATAATAAACAGCTCCAAGCAAACACTTTCAAGTAGCATGATAAATCATAATTTGCTAAATAGTTTCTCATTATTTTGATGTTGTTATCAAGTCTATTCGAGATGCTCTTGGTGGCACTAAGTTCTTTGAGTAGCAATCTCTTAAGTCCTTAAGTACCCAGCTGTGGGTTTGCAAACACCAAGCGAGCCTCTGTTGCTGCTGCTGGAATTACCGTGAAGACGTACATTTCCCCTAATTTAATGAGCCTGATTATAAACACGAATGTACTGCAGATTAAGACCAGAATCATCACAGCAAACCACATGAAAAGGAGCATTATCCTGGCATCGACTCAGAAATTAGCTCAGACTCAGACAGAGAAGAGACAGCATAAATGTGGCCGCTGTGATTTATCTACTAACTTGAATGTCCTCTGGCTGTAAGCGAGATAACCGGTCATGCGGAGTAAAAGTCGATAGGGAAAAGCTCTTCCCTTCATCCCCATCTACCACACACTTAATCCTCAGACGTTCTAGTGTCCAACTGTACAAAATGGAGGTTGAAAAGGGTAGCTCCCCGGTGTCCCCTCCGCGAGACTGCAACTGTCAATAAGAATTTGTTCCCACACCACCAGCGAATATGGCGATATTGCCTGAAATATTACTTTTAGCTTCTATAACAAATAAATTGTTCTCAAATTCATATAAAAAAAAATTACAAAATTAGCTTGTTGTAGCAACTTGACAAAATGTATATCCTTGTGTGTCCTGCCCAGATGTAGCAACACATTTTGCATGGCATTTCTAATCATTGCTACAACTTAGAAAGACTTGTATTTACATCCTCTACCATTTCCTAATTATGAGACATCACAAAATCCAAAATGTATGAATGGTACATTTGTATCTTTATACTACTTTGTGCAGCAAAACGTTAATCAATTAATCTGTGGACTTTTAGGGTCACACCTAGCCTGTTTTCATGCGATTCAAACACTGGTTCATTTCGGCTTGTGTGGTCAGACTCCGACACGGACCGCACCAGATCCCAAAGACATGATTTTAGCATGCATTGAAAAGATAAACTATTGTTAAATGAATCTGCTGACTATGAACCAGGAAGAGATCTGTACATACTACATCATTATTATGGTATCCCCCACAATTTTACTGTACAAGACACCTTCGTCTACCTGCTCATCTGTTTTTGACACCATAGAAGAGAAATAAGCAAAGTTCCTTAGTTTATCAGTTTCAACAAATAGGTGCAGGTAAGCAAGCAATAATACAAAAAATGTCTGCTCAGAGGCTATCAGTCCGCCCTCGACATCCTCGTCTCTTGAACTTTTTTCCAACCATTAAGTGGCCCAGATGTGCTCGATGAGGCATTCAACCTTAAAAGGAAATGAGTCTCGGAATCTGTAAACATGCATTTACTCTCACACACACACACACACACACACACACACACACACCCACGCTCTTACAGGAAACCTTCTGACCTCAATCACAGCTGGTTTGCTAGTGCGTTTATGTGTATGAGTACATTTATCCAAAGGCCACATTCGAAAATATGTTAAAACAAAAACGCTTGCACACAGAGAGGCTTTGATGTCAACTCTATTACATCAGCAGAAACACACTTACACACACACACACACACACACACGCAGAGACAAAGTGAGGGCACAGTGTCTTTGAAGTGTGGTTGAGACATATTTATTGTTCCATATTGACTGGAGATGGTATTTAAGACTCTTCAAGGAAAGGGATTTGATTGCCAGTAAAATCCTGTGTGTGTGTGTGTGTGTGTGTGTGTGTGTGTGTGTGTGTGTGTGTGTGTGTGTGTGTGTGTGTGTGTGTGTGTGTGAGAGAAAGAAAAAGACCAAATGTCAGTCTGATGAGTGTTTTATCATCTAAATGTGCTTTGACCAGAATCTCAATACTTCCACAGACACACAGAAAGGCATGCTGTGACCAGCTTCTCTGGAAATTCTTTTCGGATTTTCCTCACACACTGACAGTCCCAACAGTTAGACAGGCAGACACCTGAATAGCTTGGATAACCTTCCATAAGTTAAGTCAGGGGGCATAACACCATGTGAAGCTCCACTCCGTCTCCAACAAGCTGTGTTTAAAGTAAACTATTTAAAATGTTTATTAAAAAGTAAGAGCATTGAGTGGTAGATGTAATCCATTTGCCTTTAGCTACACGCTTCAACTTTCAACATGTGGTTTCACTGCAGTTGCTTAACCTCAAACCATCCCTTACAGTGACTGTGAGCAAGTGTTGAAATATATACATTATGGATGTCATGTTTGAGAAATTGCGAAACGCCCTCACACAAGATCATGATTCTTTCTTTCTTTTTATTGTACGAAGGCCTCAATCCGTCATAATCCATCTGCTTTTACCACCAACTGAAAAGCACTTTGACCTTTTCAAAGCACTAAACCAACTTCACAGACAACACTACATATTGTTACATTCATTTGATAATCATCTTTCCTTGTCTTTTCTTTGGTACGGTTCTTGTCCACAATTGATCAGCTGATGATTGATGATTTCTGCTGTCCCTTCCTGCAGTATGACCCCCCTCTGCCTGCATTCAACACCAACTGGGAGGCTGTCACTACGCTCATGGCGGTGAGTCATGCATACACATACACACTTTATCAATTGTTAAAAAAATTAGAAACAGAGCTCACACATTAGCCATTGAATGGAATAAATAAATGTGTACATAAAAAGAGATGCACAGTTAGGAAAATGTCATTACCATCACCGGGATTATTCAATTGTTTCAAAAAAAACTTCAGTTCCCTTTGTTCCAAACTAATATGTTGATAACTTTCATGGCGATACTGTTTCTAGCACAGATAACATGGTACTTAAACACATACAACATACCTGCCCTTCCAACCTTGGCACCCCACATACAGTATATGCATTCTTAAACACAACAGGGAACAATGGCTACACTGATAGATACGACATACGGCCCTGTTGCATAGACACGCACACCCACACAGAATAAATCCATCCATGTACTTAATGTATTTAATATGCATGTTGCCACAGATGTAAAATGACAGGATTCCACAGACTAATGTTTTTATACGTACATCAGTGTAATTTGTGTGTGTCCGTGTGTACGCGCAGTAGGGTTCAGTGACATATGTGACCATAATAATTAGTGTGCGTTGGGCTGCGTGGCACTTTTTCTGCATGGATTGGTAATGGTTACATCTCTGTGGGTGTATGCTTCTTCCTATGTATGGATATGTCACTGACAGTGCAGATGGGAAGTACACGTGCCTCTTGTTGGCCTCTTTCGCTTTATATTCAAATTGTCATGTTACATTAAATTCACGTTGACAAATGTTTCACATTACTGAGAAAATAGAAAGTGTGATTCATTCATTGTAACGCTGATATTCTTTTAGCGCTCAGCCTCTCGTTGGTTTGAAAGCCCGAGATGAAAACAAAAACATTTTAAACAATTTACAATGAATATTGAAAGTAAATACAAATTGCATCATATGACAATATATAGTTATTAAAAGTAATCTAATGGAGCTTTTGTTTTACATGAACCAGAGTCACATTTCTATAGCATGCTCTTAAAAAGTCTACTTCTGTTAGCTTTAATGTATCTTAGTCTCCTGACATGTTGTCATCATCAACCCTTGTGCCCTTTGATCTGTATGGAGGTCAGTGCTGATTATGGCAACTGATGTCAAAGATGTAATATTCCTAAATACTATAAGCATTTGATTGCAATTGCCTCCTAGCTAGATAAATAGCCTGCAGCACGGAGCAGGAGTCACCCGGGAATCATCTGTGCACTATGCTGCTTCTTTTGTAAATGTGCTTTGTGGTGAAAAAGTAACAACATATAAAGGAAAATCACATTTAGAAGTATATGCATCAAATAAGATTAACTCGTAAAAATAAAAAAATGAATTCCCTGTTTGACATTCTTGCTTATCTTTATTGTATATTTACAATGTGCCACTGTTTCTAATCTGCATCTCAGACTACATGTTGACATTTACAAATAGGGTGAATGACTGTATATATATGTATATATATATGTATATATGTAAACAGGAAATGGTTACCCATTCAGGAGGACTTTGTTGAATTTGCACAATAATGATTTTGTAGCAAAGTAAAGCTCACCGTTTCAAGCATGCAAAGCATGTTCAAGTTTGAATCTAACTCGGTCTCACTCCCAGGTTTGCTGATCGACTGCTGTCACATACAAAGAGTATTTCCACCACAGTGTGCTATACTACAGACCACAGGCTGCTTTCTTAACTTAGTCCATGTCACTCTACTCTAATATTGACATGCTGTATGAGTGCATAGGAGAGTATTTATAATCACAGCAAATGCACCATTTTCAAGTGTTTTGATCACACTCCGCAATACAGAGAGATACAACAGTATATTACTGTAATTTAAATGCATTACAGATTTTGAGAGAAAAAGCTACACTGTGGAGGAAGACACTGATGGAAGTGGATATCAGGTCAAGACATCGCCTTGAAAATATGTTTTAATTTCACTAAAAGCTCTGTCTGACATTTTTATGAGGGATGTCCTTAATGACCACAAGTGATAGAGGAGTCAAAATGACCAAAAGGGACAGGTTGGTACCTCCAAATCTTCCAATGAATCCTCGGATATCTTTTTAGTGCTCGCAAAGAACACCAATGTTCCCTTAGGTACAGAAGAAGGGTTAGGGTTCCAAATTTCATGAAACAAATAATAATAATTCAGCATAGCCACCTGATTCCCGACCACACAATGCAAAACATCACAGCGACTTTGTCCCTGGCTCTCCAGTAACCCTTTCAAAGGGCTTCTATTATAGATCTGCACAAGATAATAAATGGTGAAGGAAATAATAAACTGATTTACACATTTCCTAGAGAGTTTTGGCTCATGGTTACCCGTGGCTTCCCTAATGTGCTTTGGGTAATACTGTTTCAATGTACAATTACCAAAGTTAGAATAGGCTCAAATGAGTATAGGCTCAAATGAGAACTCCTAATTTTGCATTTATCATTTGCTCTTTGCAGGACAGTGGTGCAGGGCAGAAGCCAGCGGCAGTCACAGAGGTCCCTTTCTCATTGGAGGATTTGGACCGGACCATAGCTGCCTTTGATACTGTAGAACAGCTTATCAGATCCCTGAGCCCAGAAACCTGGAGACAGGACCTGGACAGTATCTATACTCAAACACACATACATTATAAATCCAGGGCCTATCAACTGGCAGGCAGACATAATAAAGGTAAGATGTACTTAAAATCCCCATGTTTTATAAGCCGTACATGAAACTGTCCAACAAACATATGTACATAATCTTAAACAAATGCTGTTTTGCAGAGAACTAAACCTGAAACGTACGTACACAAACCTGCATTTGCTTTTTAGTAAGACAACAATAATTTTAATTTGGCCCTAATATCACTGCTGCAAGTGGAACGTGATCATACATTACAATACAGAACTGTAATGAAGACCATGAGTAGATAGGATGAAGAGAAGAGATGGTATTGGCTATTCATTGGATGCTATCAAAATATCAAAAATAAAGAATTGAAAATGAAAGGAAGTGCCAGTTTTGCAGCATTAAAATAGTCACAAATTGTACAAAGTAGCCCTACAATTTGGTGTCTAACCAGCAATTGCATATAAACTAAAAAAGCTCGGCTGCTATGGACGGGTAAATGCTTCATTAGAAAAATTGTGTGAGAACTAAAACAATGACCTTAAGTAGTGTCAAAAAGCTGTGTCGAGCTGCAGAGTACTTGCAGCCCCTTGTGAATAGGTTTTTTGAGTACATGAACATAGAAAACAATGCTAAATGGGGCTTTAAAGAATTCTAGTGGAGATCCTTATATTTGTAGATATACATATATATTGTTTTGGGCTTAATTACAGGGAGAAAATCGTGTAGCAGCTAAAAAACATGCTTGGTGTAGGATCATGTGGATCAAGCAGATGCTCTTTCAGCTTCTGTACAGTGTTGTCTTGCTGTATGGATAGACATGTACAAAGAGACAGTTAACAGAAACATTGACTATTAATATGTATTATAATGTAAGACTTGGGGAAAAGATCTTAGAATGATGTTTAAGTATACAGCAAATACAAGAAACTTTTATAATGAGGCCAGCAGACTGGAAGTGACATGTTAGGTCACGGTTGTAAAGTTGATGCAGGAAGATGAGAACGCTGATGTTCTCGACTCATTTTATTGTGCTGCAGATGGTGATCCTCGACACTCTGCGTTCACAGAATTTCGCTGCAGACACGGTGCAGTCGTTGTTAGCTGGTGTTATAGAGGGGAGGGGAGAGCATGCCGCCTTGTGCTGACCACGAAAGACCCCACAGCAGGAGGCCCATTCACACATATATTGCGGCATACATAAAACGTATTAGTGAAGGCTGTAATGACTGCAATGGAGCCACATTGTTGCCTTCTAATGAAATATAGCACAGGTGACAGCCAGTGAAAATGTGTCAATGAAGTGTTGCCTATTCAGTGGTTGAGTGTATCTCATACGCCACGTTGGTTTGTAGAAAGAATTATATAAAAAAGGTAGAAGAAGCATCTGTGTATTTTACTTTCCTGAGCTGAAAAGGAAAAGAAATAGGATTTAAAAAAGCTTTCTGATGAATTTGGGTGTGAAAGTGCTTTTTGTACTTGAAAGAGATTTCTATTCGTTTTCTGGGAATATAACAGATCATCATATTATGATGCAACAACATACTGTAGCCCGACTAAGCTGTTGAATCTTCAAATGAGCAGTTTGCCCTTTAGTGGGTCTAAAAGTGAGTCAGTGACAGATTTAAGGTGAGACGGGACCAGTGTTCAAGGCAATTCTTTACTGTTAAGTCAGTGCAAACAACCTGGGGGTTACTGAGGCAATAGATTTTGTCCTTAAAATGCACAGAGATAGCGGATGTATTGGCACGAATACGCTTACACACACATGTCACGCCATCATGGAGGGAGTGTGTGTGTGTGTCCACAGTATAGAAGTATTAAAGCTTGCAACAGACCCGAGTGCTTTCCACCTCGTCTCCCTCACCTGTGCCTCAGTATCTCTATCTTGTCTTTCCACCCAAGGGCTCTCCTGCTCCTCAGTAAACAGTTGTGCTTGACAGCAAATCCATCTCTGTTTACCAGTGCATGTGTGTGTTGGGCTGGCATTAGAAGGCTCCATATATGGGGAGTTTGTGTGTGTTGCAGCACTGCAGAAAGGTGTATAGGTGCCGCAGGTCTTTGATACACTGTACATGCGTACCTCTCTCTAATTGGAAATTCAACCAGTGCAGCAGAGCAGAAATCTGCCACAGTCAGCAGCTTAGCTTTGTTTTCATTAAGACACACACACTTAGAAGCTCACACCCACCTTTGTTCCCAAGAAGGACAGCAAGTCAAGATGCAATATTAATTGGGAAACTTTTAAGACCAAGTAAGGAACACATAAATAAGTTAACACAATTATTACAATACAAAGCCCTGACTAGAACTTTAGGGCAGAAAGAAATTGATCATTTTCACAAACACGCACAGATACAACACACTTCATGTTGGCGGCTCTGAGTGACAGTCGTTCTCGCAGTTTTTGCTCGCTCTCAGTCTTTCTGTCGCAGTCCCCCTGACAGGGTTCCACGCCACTGCTTTTCTGAGATTACACTCATTCCCTTCCAAGAGACACAAGCTCGACCCTGCAAGCACATACAGTACACACGCCCACACACTCCCACATGACCTTTGCCTTCATCGCCACTCGTACGGTATGACTGAAACATTAGCAGGTAACTCACTGTGCTTTTGTACCAGCACCTTTACATCACTTTGTTTAACAGACATTACAAATGTGAAGACGCCTGTCATGACTCTTGATGTCCTCAAAAGCATATTTAGTGTAGCAGAATGGGCTGTAGTCCTAGATGATGAGATGAATCTTTACTCCATGTTACGTCATAAGTTAGGTAAGGCAGTTGTTATTGTTCCAGTGGTCAAATGAAACATGACATTTCAACAGGTTCAAACCAGGCCGTACAGCAGAGTTTCATTATTATCAGAATAGAGTAGCAAATGATCATTAAGTTCGTTTCTCTACTATTTTCATGCAAATTTGCACATTGGTGTCAACCCAATTGTTATGTCTCCACTTATCCAAAATATAGACCAATGAATTACCCTGATTTTGTTTAAACGTGACAGACACACTGCTTGAATCAGTTGTCCTCATTTAACCTGTTAATACTCACAAATGCAGACATAATCCAAATTTCATTCAGCCGTCTGTTCAGCGGATGTGCACACAGCAACTGTTTCAAAGACACACTGCCGGGATTCCAGAGGAGCGTGCAAACACGAACACAACACCTCTCACGCAAAAGCAAGGGCATACAGTAGCTTCCATTTGCTGCATTTCCTTTCTGTATGGCTATTGTATCTAATCTTGTTGTTTTTTTGCCATGCAACTGAAAAGGCCTGAAATAAAACACATGCTGTACACATGGGCAATCTTACCACTTAGATGGAACCACAATAAATGTTGTCAATATACCAATACTGCACCTTCTACCTTCATCCCTTCATCCCAAACCATTGATCATGAAAAGTCCTTCATTCTTGTATTGTGTTATGAAAAGCCCATTGCACTTAAATTAAGTGAAAGAATCTAGCAATGCTCTAATAACTTTGAATTAACCTTCCCTGCAAATAAACGTGTTTGAAGAATATTGCATTTGTTTAATGGGTAATGTCAGCGTCGCTTCCGAATAGAGAATGGTTGCCATGATTGCAGAACAAAAGCAATTGGTGATGCTGCCACTTTAACCTTCATTTTGTGGGGACCCAGCGCAGTAGGCAGACGGCAATACTTGGGCAGCCACTCATGGTTTTGGCGCTGAATGGCTTCAGACTGGTGAATAGGCTCAGTCCACCATTACTGCCTAAAGGGCAAGCCCCATTCACTGCTCTGCTTTGTCAGATTTGAGCTTTTGGCCCAGAGGACAGTCACATTCCACTATAAAGCTGAACGCATCAGCAATTTGTTCTTGTCATGTTGTTTCTGCTGAGAGGTTGTTCAGTCAAAAGTAGTTTCTTCAGGTAGTGAAGCGCCAGACTGTGTCCATGTGAACATGGGAGTCGGTGCCTCCCATGGTACTCAGGGCTGTCACTTCTGAACCGTAGGAGACCATTAACCCTCTGAACCCCAAGCAGTTTTGGGGCGTTTTGCTGCCGTCATATTTTATTCACCGCAATACATACGCGTTAAAGTAAAGCACAATCACTGCTCTATTGGCCTTGTGCAATCGCCACTCTTGGTATGGACAGTGTGCGATGATCATCCTGCTGATGACCTCAGTGAAGAGAGCAGTCAATCTGCAGCTGATTGTTGCTCTTCTTTCTTTTCTATTCTTCGTCTCATCTCTTTTATTTTTTGTCCTTCAAAACCACCTGTGGCTACTCTGGATTGCCTGCAGAATATGAGCAGACTTTGGTAATGTAATGTAATACTTTGAACAGCTTTATGTAAAATGGGAACTGTCTTCTGTTACAATTAGAGGGAAAAAACGAGGTAATCAGATTACCAACACATTTAGTAAAAATGTGTTTTATTAGCAGGATTACAATCGTAAATAAAGTACAGGTTAGCGTAAAGCAGGATGGTTTGCACAGTGTAAGGTTCATCAAGATTATTCCTTTTGCCGAGAGGATTCCCAGAGTAAAAAGATGGTTTGTAGGAATTTGAACAGCTTAAAATTGTAGGTTCATTTTATTTATATGGGTACTGCTGCTGCTACAATGTTAAAATCCGACAACACTAATGTGCCAAATGATTCAAGTCCTTTGAAGACAGTATTGTCAGAGCTGGAAAGCAGAACTTGTACTGTGATGTTGTTTTACTTTTCTCCTTTACAAAGAAAGCAATAGCAACATTTCAGCATTTTTGGTAATGGTATAATCTAAAAGTAACAGAAACTACTCAAGTTAAGGTTTGTATTGTGATACAATCGTTATTAATTGTATGAGAATAACTTATTAAGTAACCCTACCAACCCTGAATAAGAGCAGTATAAAGCGTCCCACCACAAATCCACATCCTTGGTCTCCTTCACTCACTCTTTCAATTGTCCTTCATGCTAGAACATTCAAACAAATGTTTGAGATGATTGTTCTGGCTCCCTCCTTCAGCACATTACAAATACATCTATCTCAAAATAAATGCTCACCCGCTACAGTTTGGCCTCTGGCTCTCCTTGTGCTGAGCGACAATGTGCACTTCTGTCATTCAGTCAGTTGCCTCTAGTGATAATCCTCGTGAAACATATAGAAATATAGACAGATTTTAATCAGGCTTATGGGTCTGGAGCTCCTGGTTTTATACCTTTATTTCCCATCAGCTTGTCCCATAATCCCTTTGCTTCTCTTGAAATTAGTTTTAAACCATTGCAGGATGCCAATGAACAAAGGTCCTATGTGCACAAATGAGGTGAATTTCTCCAAAGTGATGACATGCAGAAAGACTGCGGTTCATGAATTCAATCTACAATCAATTAATGGCCCTTGCTCCCTCTCATGGTCTATGCTCTCTCTTTCTGCTTTTCGGCTTATATATTCTCCCCATCTGTTCCTTTCCAGTCAATCGTTGTTGAATTGTACCATTATCGTATCGTCCCTCTCCACCTTCAACCATTCAATCAATACTGAGCATCTTTTTTTAACTTCTTTGCTTCCCCAAGTTTCATTCTTCCGTCTTTGTCTCCAACATGTCACACGTTGATATTAATGATGATACGAAGCAATAGACGAGCAATAAATCAAAACGGCTTTTTGTCTCTCTGTCCCCCTTCCCTCAGTGCAGTCCAAAATCACCACAGCAAAGAGGAAACATACATACAAGAAAAACTTAACTAATGAGTTATCTTCTGTCTTTTTTCTCACTCGCTTTCCAGTTGATCTGAACCGTCTCTATGAAGACGTCAAGCGGTACAGCTGTACGCCTCGCAACTACTCTGTGAACCTGCGCGAGGAGCTGAAGGCCACCAATGCCGTCTTCTTCCCACGATGTCTGCTAGTCAAACAGTGTGGAGGCAACTGTGGCTGCGGAACTCAGAACTGGAACAACGGCTGCACCTGTGAGGCCTCCAAGAAGACACTCAAATTACACGAGGTAGGTCGTATTAAAATGAAGACACACTGGTGAAGATCTGTCAAAGCATCACTCAAATTACAAATGTAATGATATGACTGAGAAAAGGAACTTCTCTCACTTAACAGTGACTTTAAGTATAAAAACCATTGTGAGCATAATAGTAGAGGACCTCCGACTGTGCGGAAGCATAGGTAACAATTATCAGACGTTAGGAATTAGCCACGGTCACAACCTATTTGCGGACAGGCAGTATGTAAATCATCTGTAGATATTCATACTGTGAGCATTGGCATGGAGGTTTAGATTGACTGACGCCTGATGATTGTGTTTTTGTTCTGGTCTTTCTAACCCCCTTGTCCTGCACCATCAAAATTAACCTTTTTCTAGATTAATCCGACATGAAAAGAATCTCAGTATATTTACAATTTATAGTTTTACACTCATTTGATTTCCATGGGTATCAAAGTGATGAATAAAATGACAAACGTTAGAGCTTTTAAGAAGGGGAACAAAATAATTGTGCATTTAATACCTCTGCATACTGTATGCGTCTGTGCGCAGTGGCCTTTCAATTAAAGTGACGGCATTCAATTTAGACTTAGAATTTTAGGTGCTTGGCTGAAAGGGGCTAAAAAAAAGTAGTGTGCGAGTAAGTGAGTGAGTGAGAAGGAGAGAGATACTGTATTGGGCGTACAGAGGCAGGCGCTGCATCAACAATGAAGCAGCAATGCAATGCACCATCAGCCTCACAATTTCTCCCGGTTCCTCCCCTCCATTCGTTGTCTCCCGTTCGCCTGTCTCTCTCTAATCTCTCCGTATCGGCCTCGATGCATTGTTAGCATTCTATCAGTCTCTCTGTCTCTCTGGGCTTCCATCATCCTTTCATTCTCCCCAATTCCCATTTTCAATTTATCCCTTTGCAATGCACCATTCTTGTTCTTTAAGCCCGTCATTCATTCTTTTTTCTCTCTCTTCCCTCCATTACTTTGTGTTTTTGTTCTTCATTATTGAAACATGGTCCATAGGGCTCTCTCTATCTGTCTCTCTCTCTCTAGCCGTTGAAAAATCACACAATAGAAATTTTGGCAAAAGTAGGATTTGGGTTGTAATTGTGCTATGTGTATGTGTGAGCATGAGAAAGGCGTGATTTTGTCAGAGTATATGGTTTTGTGTTTTTGTGAGGGGTATCCATCCTCCTCTCCTCTCCTCTCCTCTCCTCTCAGGCAGTCAAAGACCTGCGACTGCCTCCATCTCTGACTTTACTTCTGAAGAAACACATTATTACTCACACTATTGTTTCAGTGCCTGAAAGTCCTGACATAAATCATGGGCAGCCTTGCCTTCACTGAGTTTCGGAGAACAATTTGACTGCATCAGTTGTGGAACATTTTGTACTTCCAAACCATTTTCACATTGGCAATATCACCAGCGAAACAATTTGGCCAACTGCAACAGTCAGTTATAGTGAAACACGGACTAATTCTAACTATAAAATCTATTTTATTGCACATTTAAAGACTCGGGGGAAACAGGACCTTGTAACCTCTTTTTTTCCACATAAATAATGGTCTAACTTTTGTTGAAAACCATAATATGCTAACTTTTTGACATAGTAATAAAGCATATTGTAATTATCAGTATGTATATGTGCACACATACATATGTGTACTGATATTTGGTACAGTATGTTTTCTAAGATAGTGCATACTGTTATCGTTTTGCACAGTCAGCAGTGAATCAATTGGCAACATGCCCTGGATGTCTTAGTACTGGGAAGGGCTCCAGCTCCAAGTTACCATGAAAACAAATAAGAGTGAATGACTGTTGAAATAATAGAGGACTTCCAGTGTGGTCGGTTATGATTAACGAGATGAACAGTTGCTTTCTATCTAATCTATATTTACATCAGCATCTCGTTATTTTCTCCACATTTCTCATGTCTGTCGAATTGGATTTATTGGGAGCCATCAACTACAATGAGTTGACAAAGTATTTTCAACACCTACCAACCAACAATCCAGGCATATTCTCACCTCCTCTCTCCTATCTTGCTGCCTTCTTCTCTGACTCCTTTAGGTGCTGAAGTACAGCCCGGATGTCTCTCTGTATCAGCGCCATCGGAGGCCGCGGGTGCGCTGGGTCATAGATGAGATCTTCCTCACACACCATGAAAAGTGCGAGTGCGTTTGTCCCTCCCAGCCCCCCCGTTGACACGTCCAAACTGGCGCACGCATCTGGAATTGTTGGACAATTTCTCCTTTAATCTATTTTGCAACTGACTTCATATAATTGCAGCAACGCAGACACAAGCAGAAAAGAAGAAGGCACCGATTGGACTGACCAACCGCTGCTTTCATTATACCCATATGACATTTGTTCTTGCAAGTAAACCTTCATCTGTCCACAGGCCAAACCTGTAAATGCATAACTGTTTCAATGTTTTCGTTGTTTCAATCAAAGTTTTTTCCTCCAATAACCAAATACGGAAGATACTTTGGACACAAAAAACAAATACCACACTATGAAAAAATTGACATCAGTATTGTACCAAACATGCATTTACATTTTGATTTGAGGAGTTGAATGCCAACTTGATTGAATTTAAATTGAATCAATTTCAACCCCTGTGTGAACAGTTTTTTTATTCCTATCTCATGTGTGTGTAATGGGTTCCTTTATATTATAAAGAGAGTGTTTGTAGAAACTTAAGGCACTTATCGTGCCAGGAGCATGCTGAGATGAGTGAGCGTGAGACAGGAGGGAGGGAGAGGGGTTGGACGAAGTGTAAACCACAATAACACTTTGTCTTGATGTGAAATTAAGCAAACCACAACCTTACAGATCTGAATTGCACCCTAACATAATGTATATTCAAGCTTCCCTTTGTTGGTCCTTCCATCCATACACTTCCTGCTCCCTTCTTTCTTTGTCACTGACTCCATCTCTCTCTTTCTACACACACACACACACACACACACTTTCTTTCCCTTCATCACTCACTCTCTTAACACATAAAAAAGGAGACGTCAGATCGGGCAGCTGCGCTCTGCTCAGTTTTCTGAGCATTCCTGGCATTCCAACTGCTAACTGGAATTCTGTTAACACGGATAAAACTGTGATCGTCAGACCCTAAACACAATCTGTAAGAAGAGAGAGAGAGATGATTAGGAGAGGCGGCTGACAGAAAAGGGACAATCAAGCCGCCTATTCGTAGATTACCAGCACTTCTGGATGAGAGATGAGATAGGAGCCACTTTCAAGATACATCATAAAAGGATTGAAGCTACTTAAGCGGTTCCAATCAGCATGTTCATATATTCAGCTCGCCTGATTTTTTTTGTCAAGCTGCTTTTTTTTCCTGACAAAGATCCTGAAATGTATCACAATCTGACCCACTGCTTTATAAATCTGCAGTGGTACCACAGTGGAAAAAAAGATCTGTGGGAATTAGAGTAATGTTCTAGGTCTCTGCTGAAAATACAACTGATACTTAAGAGAGAGTGTGTGTGTATGTGTGTGTGTCTCTGTCTCTGCCAGTAACAGCTCAGGAAGACGTCCTTTTGTTTAAGGGGTGGAGGGTTACCAACAGTCTGTGAGAGCTGGCAGCAGATACAAGCATGGGAATGGTCGGCATGTGACTGTGCGTGCAAGTGTGCGTTTGTGTGTCTGTGTGTGTGTGTCTGTGTGTGTGCCTAGGTAGCAAGAGTATCAAAGCAATAGAGCAAGAATTCAAAGTAACTGCTTATCTCTACCAAATACACGACCCAGCTCTGAGAAATAAATCAGTCATCTCTCCATCATCACCTCCCATGTGTCACACGGCAGCACTTGTATGTGCCTGTGTAAGTCACAGGTGTTATTTGGCAGGTGGTGGATACAAAATATCCGAAGAAATCTTAAATATATTAAAAGCGTGTCAGGTTGTGTGGTAGTCACATTTCCAAGTAGTTTACCCCACACACACACACACACACACACACACACACAGTTGTTTTTAGCTATAGCTCATCTTAGAAAGCAGCCTCAGTTTTATGACAAATTTATGCATTTTGAATTTATGTGAGGGGTGTGTGTGTGTGTGTGTGCATCCTGTGTCTGCCAGTTTGCTGGCGTTATCAGCACATTCCATCGTTGCGTGCTCCAAAGTGACATTCCTCTTTTTGCTCATAACTGGTTTGTTTTCTCTTCCAGTTCTTTATTTCAAAGCCACATGTATTTCAACTTCAGACATTTTAAGCCTGGTCGTGTAATTGTTTAGATTATTGTTTTGGTATATTTACATAAATTAAGAGCGTCAAAACCACACATTGGACACATTTGGATTTCTATGCTTTGAATTTGATTCGGTCCAGAGTTTCAGCTTCCCTTCTGAGGATTGTGGGGATTGTATTGTCATATTTTAAACTCAGAGGAAAGTGGTTAGTTTAAGCAAAAACCTGCTTTGCTGTATTGAGAAACATATTCATGATGAAACTGTATGCTTTACTTCAATAATTTATTGTGTTTCTCTATTGTTTTAATAAAATATCAGCTGGTTTGTCATGATATATAAAGTGTTTCTAGCATTACTGCCTCCAGTGCTTTGACTTTTGTTCTCACTAAACACTGCTTTGATCAGATGTTTGACTCCACAGTGTTTTATATCTGATATGGGACAATTGCTTGTTTGATGGCGTGTTGAGTGTAATAGGAAACGTGTCATGTCTCGGTGGATACCTCCCACTGGAAAGAGAGACGTAGGGAGAAAGTGGTACGGAGGTAACTGGGTATGAACACAAGCACAGAAAGCAAGGAAAATAAAGTTTGAACAATAAGGCTGCTCTGCTGTCGCATATGTCCTCGCACACAGGTCACCATGGAAACAAGAGATGGGCTTTAATAATAATAATAATAATAGCTTTATTTATACAGCACCTTTAAAAACAGAATTCACAAAAAACAAGGCAATAACAGAAAGCTCAGTGAGACAGTAGGATACGTTAAAAATAAACTAAGAAATAAATTTAATTAAATAATAAAAGATAAATATATATATACATACATACATACATACAGTTGCATTCAGAAATGCTGTAAAGACCAAATATCAGTGGTAGGTTAAAGAGAGGTCATAACATTGTGCCAGTCAAATGTTTCCCAATTACTCCGATTCTTTGAGTCAGCAGCCGTGCAGCCACAGGTGAAAGGTTAAGTTACCCAAGAATCAGGCTGAATTGTCACTTTACTTTTTATTGCTGAAAAATCAGAGATGTGGGTAGTACTCATCTGTTTTATGTTGCACTCACATCATATTAGACGGATCATGGAGATTAGACACGTCCCATGTTGACGACTTCCAAGTGTCAACAACTGAACACGGTTGTTTTATTGCAGAATGTGTTGTGTGAGAGTTAAGAAGGCTGAAACTGTTTAGTCATGCTATGGGAGGCTATACTATACTGCAACGTCAGCATGCTTATATGCTGACAATGTTAAGTGGGTATAATGTTAACTAAGTTCAGGATCTTTGTTTATCATGTAGCACCAAATACAAAGCACAGCTGAGGCTGGTGGGATTTGTTTTTGCAGGAATTTGGTCAAAAATTGGTCAAAAACCAAATAGAAACTTTGACCTGATGATAGTTCTACATGAAAAAACAGAAATATCAACCAGATGGTTATGACTAGAGTTAAAGTAAGGGGATCACCAACGTCAGGAAGCTTTATCATTTGTTTCCATATCATTAAGCACCAAGTTGGATAAATCAAGACATTCAAAACAGTTTGAGTTCTCCCATCATACAGCAATAACAACATGAGTGTTGAACATCAGAACAATGATGGTTCGATACTTACAAATTTACATATTTTTTATCTTTTCTTTTTCTTTCATCTTTCCTTGTTCAATACAGACATTTTAGATGAGGATAATGATCAAAATGTATACAAAAGGAGTCATTTCTTGAATGAATACATGGCTGGCGACCCATTACTTTTCATTCAAGTCATTTTCTATACCTCTCAAGGCTGCGGCCTGTCCCAGCAGTTGCTGTGGCAATACTTCCTTTGCCGTTATTGTTACGCAGCAGCCTCTCTGGTCCATCCATCCATCTTTCTGTCCATCCATTCATACACACATCTACCCATCCATTCTCATCCATCTGTCCATCACCAACTCTTTTATGAGTTATTGTAAGAGAAAGAGATTCAACAGAACAAAGTAGCCTTACTTTGTAGACTGAATGACAAAACATACAGCAAGATAAACAAGAGTGAGCAGAATTAAGATTAAGGTTAAAACAATATGAAGAAAAAGAGAGAGAGAGAGGTCATAGAAAAGGGGAGGGGGGCATGCTATTTGTTTGAACCCATTCCTACGAGGCCTGCTTTGTGTCTGTCAGCAGCTTCTTATCTTTTCCTTGCGGGCAAACATATACACAAAAACAAAAACACACACACAAAATGTCTACTTGCTTTTTTTTTTAAGATTAGGCTGTTCTCATTTTGCCTTTCTTTTTTTTTCTTAAACATCCAAAAAAAATCTAAATGACACTTTAGTGTAGCTACCATCATTGAGGCCTTCTCCTGCTTTACCTGCGTTTTTCCAACATGTAGTCCAACCGTCCACTCAGTCTCTACTGGGCTTCCTCATGCTAGTATCCCACTTTTCATCCAGTCATGTTTCACATACATTCCTCATTTCCATTATTTTCTGCTCTCATCTTCTCTGTCCCATGATGCTTTCTTTGTCTATCAAGACAAATCAACACCCTGCTGTTACCAGGAAATTAAACTATAAAAGATGGAGGTTTTGGGACTTCACCAATGTGGGGGGAACAAAGAGAGAGGCCTAGAATATGAAATCAATGGCAAAACCCCATCGGACGTTAAAAGTCTCACCTGAGGGTGAGATTTGGTTTAAACCACACCACTGGTGCCTCATTGGACGAGATCCACGGGAACCCGAGGGATTCCCTGTGACACGGCCATGACGTCACCCAGGCTATGCACATTGTTCCTGTGTGATAAAATGTACTCTGCTGTGGCAGCGAGGATCCTCTTTGCCTTTCTTTGAGTGTTTTTCATTCTGTTTTAACTAACCCATACACACACACACACACACACACACACACACACACACACACACACACACACACACACACACACACACACACACGCCGTTAGGCTCATTCATACACACGTGGTGTGTTAAGCGTGGCCTCCATTGTGTGTCCCATTCCCTCTTTAAATAATCATGGCCACGCCACCTTTGTGGAGCCCTTGCGTGGCGTAACCACTCACATGATTCAGACCTTCACTGTCCACTCTATAAATGTGGAATAGTACCTTCATTTTGACACTTTATCCACAGTTTGGTTATTGGTCCCTGATCCCAGGGTGGTGACTCGTTATTATTAATCTATGTTAATCCTATTGATATTAATAATTGTATTAATATCAATATATTCTTATAATTGTATGCCCCATTTGTCACTTCCCATTTTCCCCTTTATCTGATTGTGTTACTTTAAGTGCATATTTGGGAACACTGGTAAAGTGACGTAGATATTCCATCTTGCATATTTGGTAACACTGGTAAAGTGACGTAGATATTCCATCTTGCATATTTGGGAACACTGGTAAAGTGATGTAGATATTCCATCTTGCATATTTGGGAACACTGGTAAAGTGACGTAGATATTCCATCTTGCATATTTGGGAACACTGGTAAAGTGACGTAGATATTCCATCTTACTGTCATGTATTAGTCATGGGCGTGGCCGCTCTTATACATAACACCTTCCAGCGCTCACTGCTCTTCTCAAACCACATTCATAGTGCTTACTTTGGTCAGTGGTTGAGGGCAAGGCATGACAAATTACTCCGAGGAGAACAGCTGCAAATCAGAGGAGCTTGGGCTACAGCGGAGGTTATTTTTTATAAGATTATCTTGTTGAAGACTTGTTAGGCTACCATCTGATTTCCATCTTTAAAGCTTAAAGCTTCACTAATTAATTTCTGTATATTAAAAATTGGATCAAATAGCTACATGTAAAGAGAAAGGTGTCACTTGTTGTGATTAACAGATAATGATCATCATCATGGCGTCTTTTGTGGTTCACTCTCAACAGGGTCATTTAAAGACTCATCAAGGAAAAGCGTTGCAGCGATAAACCCACTGTGGGCTCCTCTCCATCTGCATCAAACGGTACACAGACAGTCAGCGACTAGCTGGTTAACTGGATGAGCTTCCCCCCCGAGCAGCAATAACGTCAATGAATGCAAGTTTAAATATTACGAAGAAATCCATAAATTTGGTGAACTCACAAGGGTCGGATTTCAAAAAGGGTGTACAAATCCATAGAAGCAGAGATTAAGAGATCCGGATTTCAGTCACTTATGTGTGGGTCAAGCTCCACAAATCCTGGATCCTAAAATATCCAAAAGAAAAGTGAATATTTCTACCCTTCATTTACTGTGTAGTTGTAGCATGGATGGTAGAGAAGACAACACCTATCAAGGAGACCATTTGTCTCACAACAGCAAGAGAAGGAGGGATATTCAATTAAATGCGCAAAGGATTTTTGTAGTTTGGGTGACCTGACCCTTTAATTACAGGTTAACTCACCAAAAGTTCAATTTAGATGCAGCTTAGAAAAAGGAAGAGAAATCTTCAAGGATTCAAGATTCAGTAGCACATTCATTCCTGGAGTGATTTTTCAAGCAGCAAGAGCTTGATCCGAGATTAAAGGATGGAGCCTCTGTGAAGACGTATCTATGAACATGATAAATGATAATACATGATGATAAAGATGAATCTATTTATAGTCTTCTGCTTTTCAAGCCGTCCACAGTCTTTGCAGCTGCTGTAATATGATTTTTTTTATATCATTCAATGTCATTATTAAAATGATGCTGAGCCGTAGTTGAATTTGTCCACACTCAGCAAGTTGCTGTCCTTCGAAAAACAAAAGCTGGGTTCATTTTGTAGTTAAAAAAAAAAAAAAAAAAAAAAAACTGCCAAGAGAAAACAGTAAAGCACAAAGCATGTTCTAATTTAGGGTGGCGGCTCATCACAGTTAATCAGCCTGGACAAGGGTTGGATGAATAGACTTAAGACAAACAATCAGAGGGAGAAGGAGGTTACACTTGACAGAGAAAGACAGGACCAGACAGGAGGAGCTGGGGGAGCAGAATGACCAGAACTGATGGAGAGAAGTAGACACAATCAGGGGGGGAAAAAGACAGAAAGAGGGTTTTAGAGAGACAGACAGACAGACGTGGAAAAAAGCGACACAGACAGATGATGAGGAGGTGGAGGAGAGCTGATGAAGTCATTGAGGCGTGTAGGAAAGAATGGTGAGAATATGACCCATAACTGAGACACGATGTAGCGAGACAGCGCTGCCTAACATCACAGACACACATACACACTGAGCTGACATGTAGCAGAAACAAATAGGAGGAGTGCTGTCAATCTGTCCTTTCTTTCTTCTCCGGCCAATGTCGAACACAAGCAAAAAAAAAAAAAAAAAACAGGCACCAGCATGACAGCATCTAAT